CCCCGGATCCCCTGGCCTCCGGGAATCCCCCACCAGGAGGTCTCCCATCACATGACCTTAGCAGGGCCTGTCCTCAGACTGACACCTCCACGGAGGGCGGGCCAAGTGGGCATGCTCTGCTGGGGCCTCCCCCATTCTCAGCATTCTCCCAGCCCAGCGGCTTCCTTGCACTCACCGCCCAGGAGGGGACAGCCTCACTTTTTTCTTTCTCCAGAGGAGCCACAGTTTCTGCAGGACCCTCTTCTAATGCTGACCCTCCACTCCTCCTCACCCACTAGCCTGGGCGGTGTCACCAGCACAGGCCCCAGAATGAGTCCTCACCCCCTTTTACAGATGCCAAGTCTCCCAGGCCTCCCCCAAGACTGGCTGCCTCGCTGGCAGCCTCTGGACAAGCCCCTTGGCTCAACTCTGCACAGCATTTCCTCTTCTGTGACCTAGTGGGCCCCTGCTCCCCCCAGACCAAGACCTGGCTGGTCAACAGCTCCACGGGCCTCCCCAGGCACCGGCAAGTCCCCACATCTTTCAGTCCTACAATTTCATTACCCAAACTCACCAACTTCACCCATGACGGTACCCCTGCCCAGGGGTACCCAACTCCTGCACTGCCAAGCCAAATCCTCCTCAACCCCTCCCCCAGCAAGGGCAGACCAACTCACCAGCTGGGGAAAGGAGCCATGTCCCTGGCAAGGGCCCCCCGACTCCTCCCAGGGAGCAAGTCCTACCCAGCCCAAGCCCTCCCTGTCCACGCTTATGGCAGTGAGAGCCCCCGAGAGCCCGGCCTGAGGCAGCACCACCTCCTCCCTTCACTCAGCTAAGGCCCAGTCACCAACAGTGCCCTCAGCTCCTCCTGCCAGACTCCAGCTCGCCCTCCTTTCTCCCTCCCCTCACATCCCTCCCTGCCTCTCCCAGGCAGCCCATGAAAACCACAAACGGAGTCTGCTTGGATAACAGCAGCTGCTATTTGTGAGGCAGGCACTCACTATCTTACTTAATCCTCACCGCTACCCCTCGGAAGAAACTAGCACCTCCATTTGCAGAAAATGAAAAGGAGGCTCGGAGAGGAAAAACGGCTTACTCAAAGGCAAACAGCTGGCTACACGCAGCTGTTCCTCTATTGGGAAGCTGCAGGCCCGAAGCTACCCCTTCCTCACCCCACACCAAACCCATCAGCTGCCGCCACAAACTGACCATCTTCCTTTCCTCTTACCCAGTAGCCACAAACTGGCCACCATCTGTATCCCGCTCCTAGAAGCTGGGAAGTAGAAACATCCTGAACCGAATCCCCGCCAGACTGGCCTAAACTGACCAATACCGAGAGCAACTTGACAAAGACCCTGGTCGATGACTTTTCATACCCAAGCCCACTTAGTCCTCTCTCAAGCCCTGTCCCACTTTACTGGTGGGAAAACTGAGGCCAAGAGGAACTGGGTGACTAGTCCAAGGTCATGAAGTGGGTAAGTGGAAGTCAGGCGTGGAACTAGAGCCTCCACTCTCCCACCACCATGCTCTGCCTCTCCAAGGCTTTGCCCCTTTCTGCTCTGAACTCCCTGGAGTGGACACCAGGCTGCTGCCAGGGCCCATTCAACTCCTCCCTCCCTCAGTACCAAGCCCTCCAACACCAAAGTGACCACCTATCCCTGGGCCTACTGCCCAAGGGCTTAGTTGACAACCAAAGCCAAGAGCCTTGAACTGCCCATAGCTCTTCAACACTTACGGCCGGCTCCCTGTGTGTTCAGCGTCCAGCCACCAAGTCCTCACCATCCCTCCCAGCTCTCACCCACGCACATCAAAGCCACCAATCCTCCCACTGCCCACAGACAGGTCCTCCTCTTTCCCCAGGGAGCTTCTATAAAGCCAGGGCTGATTCCTCTCTTGGCGGGCTCCACCCCAGCAAGACTGACAGACTTGTTCAGAGCAGCTGGGGGAAAACCCGCTGTCCTTCTCTGTGGCCACTCTCCACCTCCCAGCCCATGGGTACACACTCCTCCAGCTGCCCTTCTGTTCCAACAATAACCTGACCTTCTCCAGGGGACCTATAATCCACCGATGTGCCCCTTTCTCCCACACCTCAGGCTCCCAAACTTCATTCTCTCACCACCTTCTACAGACCAGCAACTCTGCCAGGAAAACAAACAAAACATCCTCCCAGAGGCAGGCCCCAAAGTTCCTCTGCTCCTGTGAGACTGAAAACGTTCCTGCTTCCTCTTTCGGGAGTGCCTTTTCTTTCTCTTAATGCCAAGACTTCTAAAGCTTCCTCTCACACCCCCCACCACCACCAAATGACCACTAATTCTGCTCCTTTTCTGGAAATTTGTTTACCATGAGACCCTTTTTCCAAACCCAGGACTGATTGACCCCCTTTCCCAATGCCCAGGATTCACTCCTCTCCAGCCACAGCCCAGACGTATTCCTCTTCCTTCTTTCTGCCAAGAGCGAGGGAGGTGACCACCCCCTGCCTCAGGTGCCTGCAGACAGCAACTTAACCTCTCTCCCATCCCCCTGGGCCCATCAAACTCTCCAACGGCCCTTTCAGCACCAAGGCTGACCCACTGTTCCTCTCCTGACTGGCGCTCTACCCTTCCCCGGGATAACTATGAACTCCAAGTAAGGCCCACCCAATCTCCGAAGCCACAAAACTTTTAACAGCTCATCGTTTTAAACGATCGCCTTCCTGGGGGAGGGGGAGGGGAGGGGGAGGGCTGCAGCGGTGGGGGATAAGCCTGCTACTCTTCTCCCAAGCTATAGCCACCCCCCAACACACACACCTTCCAGCTCTACACCGACGATGGTCTCTTTAGCTCATCGTCAGGTGCAACTTATTGAGCGCCACCTCCGTGCCCGGCGCTGCACTGACTCCAGGTCCCCCACGAGCCCTCCTCCGCTCCCGAGCCCCGGCCATAGCTACCGTGTCTCCAAGGGTCTTTGGGCTCCACCGCTCCGGACACGATATCCTCGTCCGAGGGGAACGTGACGCGCTTGGCCGCTCCCTTGAGGCGTCCGTCGGCTGGGGGCGACGTGGGGCTGGGGGACCGGGCCTCCGCGGGGGCCTCCTCGGCATCGCCGTCCGCGCCCGGCCCGGGCGGCGCCTCCTGCGGCGGGATCTCCATCGCCGCCGCCGCCGCCTCCTCACGGGGGCCCCGGGGACATGCCCCGGGCCCCGGACTTGTCTCTCCGGGCCCGCCCGCCGTCCCGGGGCATCGGCTCCGCCGCCGCTTCAGGCGCCGCCTCCGACTGCTCTCCGGGTCGTCGTAGTCGTAGCCGCCGGCAGCCCGAGCGCGCCTCCCCCGAGCCCCCGCGCGCACCTGATCGTTCGCAGCCGCACTTTCGTTAAGGGCCGGGGATGCCCCCCGCCCCCCCCCCCGTGCACCAAGAAAAGCAGAAAAGCTAGTTAAGCCCTATGCAGGTGGCGTTGTCTTGCGGCTTGCTGAAGGGAGGGACCAAAGGCAGGAAGAGTCGTGCTAAAAAGCAACGCGACCGGTGAATCTGCAGAACCGGAACTGCAGAACGTGAGGGGCGGGGCTGGGGGGGGACGCCGTCTCCCGGAGCAGCGCGCAGGCGCGAACCTGAGCCGCCTCCACACCCCCCCGCCGAGGTAACTACTGTGCAGGCTCACACATAGTCGTCACGAACTCCAGCCATGGAGAGGGAAGTGGAGTTGACAGAACTAAAAACAAGTGCTTGGCAGGGCTCGGCCAACTGATAAGAAGAAACACAAAGGGATGGAGAACGTGATAGGCGAGAGAAGCTGTGTTGAATACACGGGTACAGGTTATGGATGCTGAGGGACCCCGCAGAGGAGACGAAGCCTGTGCCCCAGCTCGTTATTCTTTAGTCTTGCGTTTGAAGATGACAGTTTCACCAGTAGTTCCCTGGATTTGGATAATGTCGCATACACTGTAATTTGTGTTTAAAAACTTAAATAAATGAGGTCGTTCGGCGTTAAATAAAAGCTGAGAAGGAAGAAGCCCAGGGCTAGAGACGAATCTGCCAGCACCGGGCGCTGGAGCGGTAGAGCAGACCCGGAGCAATCCGGGGCAGCTCAGGCCACGCCCCCGTAAGGGCCGAACGCGATCGCTTACAGTTCACCTCGGCACTTTCGCCGAGCTTTCCCCGCCCGTCGGCCACCTGGGGTTGGCGCGGGAGGCGGGGCGGGGCTCAAGCCCAGACGGGGGCTGGGAGGGGCGAGCCACGTCGTTGCCAAGGCAACTCGGGAGCCAGGCCCGGGCGCGCCGAGCGGGCGCTGTAAATGGAGGCGCGGGGGCGCGGCTCTGCGCTGGACCACTCGCCAGCCGCCGCGCCTCCGTACTTACTGGAACTCTTCGCTTATTTTTCTTAATTTAATGGGACTAAAAAAGAAGCAGAAGTTTGCTTTTTAAAAGCTCATCTGTTGAAAGACCATTAATGACTGCTCAGTGAAGGGAATGTTTACCGGCGGGGCGCTACACAGCTGGAGCGAAATGGAGAGGGACAGGCTTCACCTAAGCCCTTAATCCTCCGCCCTTTCTCTGTGGCGCTGCCACAAAGGGCCCACCCTCCCCGCTTGAGCGGTTAAGCGAATCAGCGGTCACTAGTGTGTGGGGGAGAAGCACCTCCCGCAAACGGGACAAACAAAGGAGGTGCTGGCGAGCTGCGTGCCAGGTAACGCTGTGCGAGCCACACCCGCGCCGTGTTCGACCCCACCGCCCCACAAAGAACTTGAGATCCAACCTGCACTTCAGTCACGTGCCACTAGCCATTCCCACGTACCTCGGCCCAATCTGCACTTTTATCCAGCTCCTCCCAGCCCCTTGAAGTGTCTGTTCTCCCCTTCCAGGCCGCTCAACTGGGTCGAGCCCTTGGTGAGCTAAACCTGCCTCTATCCCTAAAGGGTACATTCCAAACAAAACAGGAGGTGAATTCTCCTGGACACATTGGTGCTTTGGCAGGAGGAGAGTATTAAGGAGTATCTTCAGAGTGGCCTTATGTTTGCACCTGCTTCAATAAACAACTTTACACTCTGCAATGTGCCCAGCTTTATTCCCTTCCTACCCCCAGTCTTCAGGAAATACCCATATTTCTGTTGGGCAGACTTCTGTGAGGTAGAGCATTCCTTTCCAGGGAAACACGAACTCCCGGGGTTGGAGAATTTTTTTTCCTGACGCAGGCTGTCTCAGGAAGTCAGAGCTGCTTGGAGTTTTTCCCAAAATCCCAATGGAGGTCCAAATTTTGTAGGTCCCAGAGCTCCAAAATTCAGGACCTGGGATACCGTGGAAAGGTGAACCAACACAAGGTCATCATCAGGGCTTGAAGGTGTACGCAATAATGTCACTACACCGCAGCAGTGCCTCAGCCTGCACACCTATTGGAGTTTGCAGCTGAGACACATAGAAGTTGGCCACATCCAGGTCAGTAGCTCCAAAGTGTGCAGTCACATGCACCCCCTCGTGCAATGTGAAGCTCACCTGGCGGCCCACCATGGCCAGCAGGCTGCGGAGGTAGCGCTCCCGAAGGGCGGCTCTGGCCCGCTGTTCCTGGGATTCTCGGGATTCTTGTGCCAGGGATGACGCTGAAATTTCAGGAATCACTTCTTTCAGGGGAGCTCTGCGTCCATTGGGGGCAAAGCCTCGGCTGAAACCATCAGGGCCCCGGGGAAGCCGGAGCACAGGTACAGGAATGGTCAGTGGAGTCTGCATTGTCCTGGCTGTTGGGTGAGGAAGAGAAGGGAAACCACTAAGTGGAGGCTGAGACTAAAGGAAGAGGGAGGACTGGGAGCAGAGGCTTTTCTACCCCCACTCAGCTCAGCCTGCTAAAAACCCAATCCTGATTCTCCCTCCTAAACTTTGTACCAGTCCCCCTTCCCAGGAAGTGGCACAGCCATTCCCAAGTCCCAGAGATTTTTGTTTACTTTTATGCCCAGTCTCCAATTATACAAATATTTGCTGCAAGATTGAAGGCCAGTGCCTCTCCGGTGGCACAGGGGTTAAAGTCTCAGTGCTGTCAAGCTATCACCAGCCACCGGCAGCCTGAGTTTGCCCCCCACAAGGGAGCTGACCCACAGGGCACAGCAGACCTCTCCGGTCTCCCCACTTCTCCCCTCAGCAGTGTATTTCAGTCAGTCTGCCTGTTCTGCTCCCCACTCTGTCTCTGGTGAATCCTCTCACCTGCCACACCTATGGCCTCTAAACCCAGTTCCTGTATGCATAAATAAATAAATCTTTTTTAAAAAGAACACATACCTAAAGGAGGAGAAAAGTTCTTCCTTTCCACAGAATGGCAGCAAAAATCACTAATGGACATGAAGACTTGTTTGATGGGGTAAGATCTACATAATCTAACGAGCCCGCTAAGAAAATACCTGCCCACTGTAAAGAACAAACACTAACTTTAAAGTGCAGCAACCCAGGAGCCAAGGGATGACACCTTAGCTCGGGGACTAAAGTCAGCGTGTGCGATAATGAGGCAACCAGATGTTGTATGTCTCTCGATATGACATGCGGAGCACAGGGTACCAGTTCTGCCCTGTGAATCTATTCCTGCTCCACCTGAATCTAATCCTGAGGAGATGCAAATTGAGAAAGTCCACAAAAAAATAAATTAGCCTGGATTTTTTTTTTTTTAATTGAGTGCCTAAAAGAGAAAGGGGTCAGGGGATCCTATCTACTCCCAGCCTGACATTTCCCACTCTCTATTGCTGACACCCAGGTCCAGTCACCCTCACTTCCGGCATGAACTGTGGAAACAGACTCCTCACTCATGACTGGAACTGGCTCATACTCTTGTTTTCTTACAGGGGCTGTCCTGGGCACAGGGCAGGATTTGAGCAGCATCCCTGCCTCTACCCGCTAGAGGTCAGTAGTGTCCCCCATCCCAAGATGTGACAACGAAAAAAATGTCTCCTTTGATTAAGCAGTCTGGAAGGAAAATTACATTCATAAAAAAACCCTTCCCCCTTCCCCCCCCAAAGGGTTTCCATATATTGCCAATGTCCCCTGGGGAATAATGAAATCATCCCTAGTTGAGAACTAGTGCTGAGACATACAGGTGGGGGGCTGTGTCATGAACACATGGACTCACAACCTGACTGGGATCCAGGGACCGCAAATCAAAGCTCAAGGCGCCCTCACTTCTCAGAACAGGGAAGATGAAAAAGGCCCACAAGGGGGTCTCCCTGGTGGCACAACCGATTAAAGCACCGCATTATGAAGCTCTCCAAAGCCACTGCAGCACGAGCTCCATTCCCCGCCAGGAAGCTGACCTGCTCGGTTGACAGACCTCTTCTGCCCTGACTGCTGCTCCCCTCAGCAGTACTTTGTCAATCTGCCTGCTCTGCCACCGCTGTGTCTCTGCTGAATCCCCTCATTGTCCCTGCACCTCTGGCCTGTACCCCAGTACAGGCCTGCTGTACTGCTTGCTGACCTACAAGCATCAAAAAATAAATCTTTAAAAAAAAAAAAGAAAGAAAAAGGCCAACAAAGCACATCTTTGGCACAGCTCTGGAGAGACACCTTCAAACCCTTTGTGATTTTATTTGGGGTGTCAATCAGGAGAGCCTCAGAGAGGGTGGTTCCACCAACCCCAGGAAAACAGCAAAGGCTTGGTCGGCTGCTCCAAAAGCCAGGCCGCAGAGTGGGGCCGGACCCTGGCTGTCCACCTTTTAGCACTTTTTGAATTCAGTACCACGGATTTGTGTAAGTTACTCTCATTTTAAGAAGGGGTATATGGTAACGCCTCCCTGCCCCTTAAAAAAGGTCACCCACACCCCTTTCTGTCCCTGCCCCTGACTTTCCCAGCCCCTCTGTAACTAGCTATCAAGTCCTACGGATCTGACACCTCCACTCAAATCAAATCTTTACAAGCACAAGTTAGAAAATTCCGTCAGGAAAGGAGCTAAGAGTAAATAGTTTAGGCTGCCGGCCGCAGGGTCTGTGGCGCAAATCCCCAGCTCGGCCACAGTAGCATGGCAGCAGCCTGGCAACAGGTGAGCAACGAATGTGGCCTCGAGCCAAGATCCTCACCTGTTGGGCCACTGGAATTTGAATTTTAGTGAATTTCACTCAGCACAAAAATTTTACTTTTCCAGCCACCTAAAAGTATAAAAAACCCACGCTTAGCTTACAGGCTGCAGCTGTCCACAGCTGGCCACCAGGCAGAGAGGACAGAGGTACAGGGAGACGGTTACGGCAATTCCCAGCCCTCCCAGGCTCACCACCAGGGACCTGGGCAGGGCCCCTGCTACCCTTTAAGCAGCCTCCTCCTGTCTCAGGCTCCTCATCTGTGAAATGAAGCATAAACGAAGCCCCCCTGAGGGTTGCTGGGTGAAGGAATTTTGGGTCCCACTGTGACTTGGACTCCTTACTTTCTCTCCCACCCACATTCAATCCACCAGTAAAACTTGTCAGCGCCACCTTCAAAACTGCATTGAGAGCCCAGTGACTTTTGACCCTTCTCTCCTCTGTCCTGGGCCACCCACCACCACCTGGGCCACCCACCACCACATTACACCTGGACTAATGTGGTCAATTCCCCACCAGGCTCCCAGCTGCTCCCTTCACTCCACAGTCTGGACCCCACTCCACTGTCAGAGGGATCCTCAGAGAATCAAGTCTGATCTTAACCCCTCCTCGCCTCAGAGCTCCCCACGGCTCCCCACTCACTCACTGCAAAAGCCAAGGTCCTCACAATGGCTACAAGACCCTGTCCTCCCCAGAACCCTGGCCCTCTAGCTTTCCTCACTGCTATTGTCACTTGAATGAGCCAAGAACGTTCCTGCCACAGGACCTTTGCACTTGATGTTCTGGCAGCCTAGAACCCTGTTCCAGATGGGAGGCATGTGTATTTCCAGCTGCATAGCTCATCTCTCTTCCTTGCTTCATGAACTGAGGTTGCTGCTGCCCAAATTTCCACCTTTACAGGGTATAGAACAGTAACTTTTTTACTCCGCCTCATCTTCTCTTCATATTCCCTCCTGACAATCTGATTTGCTTGCTTACCTACATGCCATTTTTCTCCCAGGAAACATAAACCTATGAGAGAAGACACAGGTCCACTATCTTTACAACTCCATTCCCAACCCCACCTAGGGGCTGACAAATGGACAATTCGGTTAAGTGTTGGTTGCAGGAATGTAAAGATACACCCGTCCACATTATTAGCACCCATTATCTGAGTACCTACTCTGTGCCCAGCTCACTGGACAGTGCTGGGGACACAGCTGAGTGAAACAGCCCAGCCCTGCCACATGGGCTCACAGTCGAGAAGGTAACAAAGACAGCAGAGACTGTGAGGATCCAGAGTGCACCAGGCTGGAATGAAGGAGCCTGGGGGCTTCAAGAACCCGGAGGGGACACCTGACCCAGCCTTGGGGCAAGAGGTGGTTCCCAGACAGAGCACTCAGGGATGACCTCTCTGATAAGAGTAAAATCACGTATTGAGTCCTGCTGAGATCGGTGGGCAGAAGCAGTCCAGTCAGAAAGCATAGCAAATGGAATCTCATAAGAGGGTGACTCTGAGATGGCACAAGAAGACCTCCGTGGAGGAGGTGGGGGCAGAGACAGACATGTAGGGGGTCCCTGATGCCTCAGCCTGCTACACTGAGCATGGATGTGCAGGATAAAGAGACGAGAGAAATGCAGAGAGAAGCCACACAGTGGTCAGGTGAAAGATGAGGATGGGGGCAGTGGGCATGCTTACCTGCATGCCATTTTTCTCCCAGGAAACATAAACCTATGAGAGAAGACACAGGTGGACCAGCCTCGGGTATGTTCTGAAGGCTGAGAGCCTTCACTATTTGCTGAGTCCAGGAAGACTCCCAAGGTTTTGGCGATGGGCAAGTCCACAGTTAATGGGATTAAAGGGTATTTACATGTTCCAGTTAATCAAGGTTACTTCTATCAATGGGATTAAGGGATATACAAGTTTTAGAATTAATCTGTCCACTTCACTCCAAGTTTAGTCCCCAGTGTTTTCTTCCAGGCTAGGTTAACAGTAGAGTGTTTAGGGAGAAACCCAGTCTCTAGAGGAGCATTTAATAAAAGACAGATAGCAATCAAGCAAGTGACACAAATTTTTTTTTTGTTAAATCCTGTATATAACAAAATTAAGGGTGGGCCAGTAAGGATGATTTTTCCCCTCCATGGGGAAGGGGGCAGCTTAGGTCCTATCAGTGCAACCCCAATTTTCCTGAAGAGGAAACTGAAGCTAGGAGATAGCAAATCATCTACTGGTCCAAGTTGTTGAGTGGCAGTAAAAGGGATCAAATCCAGGTTGGGCTGAACAGAGCTGGGCCATCATCCAGCCCTTGCAGCCAGCACAGGGGAGCAACAAGAGCTTTGGGAGCCAAGGTGTGACCAGATAAGAAACTGGTCTGAGGAAAGGTCACCTAGGGTGTGTCCTGGCAGGCATGATCCATTTTCCTGGTGACCAGGCCTGAGAGTCCTTTATCCTTTCCCTTTCTGCAAGTCAAGGATTTATTGCTCAGAAATTCTAGAAAAAATGTCCAGACCCATCCCGCGCCACCAAAAAAATGAATGAGTCTCAGGTCAATGGCAGGGGAGGGTTTAAAACGTTCCTCCTTGGGGCCACAGCTGTCCACTTTCGAGAAAATGGAAACGATCAGCTCGGTGGACATTCAGTTAAACTTTCACAACCGCCAGTTGCTGAGATATCTGGTAAACAGCAAGGTCTCAGACCTAATTAACCAAGGTGTTTGCGGCCAGGTCCGTACACATCCCAGGAGTCCCATCTGGATGCAAATTAATGCAATGGAGCCTCCGGATAGGGTCAGAACCCCAAACAGACTCCTTCCCCTCCCCTGGCCGGGTCAGTTTCCTCTGGATTCCGCCCTGACCACCCAGCGCTCTCCTTTTCTTATACTAAATAGGTCCTCCCGGCCCCCGGGCGTCCACTCCCCACTCCGCCCTGGGCGCTCTGGCTGGACTTTCGGCCCACCTCCGGGCTCTAGGCAACCGCTCCCACCCAGGGAAAGGCGTGTATTGTTGATTACTGCGGTGACCGCCTGAGTCGTTATTTTCCCGTGGGGGTGCGTTTCGCCCTCCTCCGCCTCCCCACCCCACCGCGTGCGCGGGTCGGCCCTCCCGCCAGCCGGCACTGGGGCCAGAGTCCAGGCTGCTCTTCCCTCCCACACAGGTAGGCGTCCCCCCAACGTCTCCTGGGCCAGGGAGCAGCAACGTGTTCACGACTCGGCACCAACACCCCACACTCACCGAGGTCCGCGTGCCGCACCCCCACTTCCGTCGGCGCCCGGGCTGCAGAGGCCCGGGCGGGCCGCGAGAGCCGCGGAACCTGCGTTCCGCCCGTGCCGCGGCCGCCGCCCCACGTGGTCGCGGGCCGGCTTCTAGGCTCCGCAGCCGCGCGAATCCAGCCAGCATCCCTAGCGGGCAGCCTAGGTTAGCCTTTGGCTCTGATCCCCAGCCTTCGAGGTGGAGCGTCCAGGAAGCCCGTTTTGCAGAGGAAGTTGAGGCTGGGAGAGGGGAGGACTACCCCCTTCCCAAAGAGTTAGAACCCCTGGTCTTTACACCCCATTCTCTACAAGTGCATACTCAAACCCCTCACCCCCACCTCCCCTATCCAAACCTTGAGATCTTGCTCTCAGAAGCCCCGCACCTGAAAAAAGCTTGGAGGGTGGACCCAGGCAATCTTCTTGTCCCCCAGCCCACCATCCCACTTTAATTTGCAAAGGTGAAAACAGAGGCCCTGCAAGGCCCTAGATGCTGCCTGAGACTGCAACACCTTGCTGGGATGAGCTCAGACAATTCATTTCTCTCCTGAGGGCCCCCTATGTGTCTCGGCTTCCCACTAGATCCCCAATGCCCAGTGCCTGGCCCTCTGCAAATAGCCATTGCAAGAATGTACAACAGGTCTTTCCAGGTGGTGCAATGAGTTAAAGTGCAGCACAATGAAGCAAGCACTAGGCACTTCAGCAAGAGTTGGATCCCTGGCCAGGGAGGTGACCCACATGGCTCAGGAGACCTCTCCTGACCTGCCCGCTGCTCCCTCAGCAGTGCACTACTACAGTCTATCTGTTCTGCTCCCCACTCTGTTTCTGGTGAGTCCTTTCACTGCCCCTGCACCTCTGGCCTGTAGCCCAGTTCTATATGCCTAAAGAAATCTTTTAAAGAGAAAGAAAGAATGCATAATGGTTCAATACATATTTGTTTGCTAAAGCATGAACAGGTTCGGGCTCTATTTGTGAACAAAGCAGACTGGCTCCTAACCATTAAGACGCTATATTCTAGGGAAGCTGGAACGGACAAAATAGGCTAGACAGAGATCCTTTGAAGCTTGATGAGTGATGTAAAGAGATTATAAAAGGATAATGGGATAATAGGTGGGCAGGATTGGGGGACTTTTTAAATGTTTTTTTTTTAAATTTTATAATAGTTTATTTTTACATCATTTTTATGCATTTTTCCATCTCAGTTGCAATCCCCTTAGGTTTCCCATCACCAAATCACCCTTGTGCCATCACCATAGTCCAGTGCATTTCCCTCCCGCCACAGTTCTTGATCCCATTCCCCACTCTACCCGGATTGGGGGTACTTTTAAATTTATTTTATTTATTTTTTAAAGATTTATTTACATATGCAAACAGAACTGGGGTACAGACCAGAGGTGCAGGGATGGTGAGAGGATTCATCAGAGACAGTGGGGAGAAGAACAGGCAGATTGACAAAGTACATTTGCTGACAGGAATAGCAGGCAGGTCAGGAGCGGTCCACCACTCCATGTGGGTCACCTTCCTGGCGGGGGGGTGGGTTGGGGGGGGTGGGTCGAACTTGTGCTGAAGTGGCTAGCTTCATAGTGCTGAGTTTTAACCCATTGTACCACCAGGGAAGGTCCATTGGGGGAATTTTTTAAATTGGGTGGTCAGAGAGGGTGACATTGAAGAAGCCACCTCACCTAACAGATGAGGAAACTGAGGCTCAGGAAGGAACTGGGTGGGAATAAGTGGAGATCATGGAGTGAAAATTGTGAGGCCTTTAGCAGGGTGGGGCTACTTTAGATATGATGGTCAGGGTGGCCCTCTGCTCTCAGGAGGACAATTGAGCTGAGACCTGAATAACAATATGAGGAACCCTGGGGCCTGGAGCAACCCCCCAGGAGATTAGCATGTGAAATTCACTTGGTGCTGGGCTGGGGACACTATGGGGGAGGACTGACCCTGGCCCTGACCTCTGGATGGGGGGGACTTGTATGAATGAAGGGGCTGGAGAGGGAGGGAGAAGATAGCCAAAAACAGTTCTATATTATGATGTTGTCGGTGCCAGGAAGAAAACTTGTGAGAGTTGGAGGGTGGAGCTGGGTGTTGATGCCACTTCAAACGGTAAGCAGAGAGAATTACTTTGGGGAGGGAAGTTCAAGGAGGCTTGGGTGGAGGGAGGAAGACAGTTGGCTATTTGGTTCCACCGCGTTGATAGGTCTTAGAGCAGAAGGAATAATAGGATCACAACCCCCCTCAAACCTTCTCAAAGCTCTGATCGCAGAAAACCAAGGTCTTAAAGTGTTCAGAGACCCTCTTGCACCCATTTTCTGACCATCTATTTCACCCCCATCTCTTTGTTATTTTTGATTACACAGGCTGGCTTCCGGTCACCTCCCTCAGGGCTCAGCTCTAACTAACCCTTCCCCCTCATGGAAAGAAAAATCGAGAGCTCCTAACCCAGTAATGCTGTCCACTCAAAAGCTTTATTTTGCACTTGCCATCCTAGAAGACAGGCCGTATTTTACAGTCATCTTGTTAAGAGGCTGTGGCCCCCAAACTGCTTGAGGTCAGTAGTTGTTCAGGCGTTCAATATGTTTGCCCAGGGAATTTTTATTGTAATGCATTTAATGGAGTATTTATTCCATACTACTAGAAGCCTTACAAGAAACCATTTTCTGGCGTGGTGGGTTGGGGGAGTGAGGATAACAACTGTATTACCGATTCACCAGTCTTAAAACAAGATCAGTTTCCACGCACAGTTGTGTCATTAAGGTTTGGTCACTAAGCCAAACGCAGTGGGCACGGCCTTGATTGGATTTGGCTGCCCGCGGGGCCCCTGCGGGGCCGCCCCGTCCTCTTCCGCCAGGCCACGCCCCGAGGGGCGGGGCCACGGGCCGGGCCAGCACGTGTAAGAGTTCGCGGCGGGTCGCCCCAGTCACTCACCTGAGAGCCTCGGTCTGAGCGCGCACGGCTCGCGAGTCCTCCGCCCGCGAGTCCTCCGCCCGCCTGCTCGCCCGGCCCGCGACTCATGTCCCGCCGCAAGGCCGGCTGCACGCCCCGCCGAGTAGACCCCGAGCCCGCCGCCGGCACAGACGACGAGATGGAGATACCGGACCTCATCATCGAAGTGAAGCCCGAGCCAGAGCCGCGGCCCCTACAGGCCCAGTGGCTGGGGCCCTTCAACCTGAAGGAAGCGCCGGCGGCGGGGCAGTTCGAAGACGAGCCCCGCCACTCTCACGGCGTGGTGCCCGGGCTTGGCGCCCCCCGCCACGACCCCGGCGTGCGGAACCAGTGGCTGTGTACGCCACTGACCTCGAACCCCCTGGGTGAGCGCCCCCGGCCCCCGACCCGCCTCCCTCCTTCCTAGGGGTGGGACCCCCCTCGACCGGGGCCCCGACCCCAGCCTACCGCCCCTACCTTGTTTCCCCTTCCCCTGGCTGGCCTCCAGCCCCTCTCTGACCTTCGGGTTTCCCCTCGCCCCCGGAACCCCCAGCCCCCATCCTGGCCCCACCCCACGCTCACCACCCGCTTCCTCCCTGCAGACCGCCAGCCCTGGACCGACAAACACCCCGATCTGTTGACCTGCGGCCGCTGCCTGCAGACCTTCCCGCTGGAGGCTATCACTGCTTTCATGGACCACAAGAAGCTGGGCTGTCAGCTCTCCAGAGGCCCCAGCCCTTGCCAGGGCTCAGGTGAGTAAAGGCGGGAGGCAGTCTCCCTTTCAAGTTCAAGGGCCCGGCTTCCTGTGAAGGGGCTGAGCTGGACAGGCAGGGCAGTGAGCACTACTTCCCCTTTCTCTCTCCCCTTCGGGTGCAGCCTAGGCGTGGCCAGGGCCTGCCCTGTCCTAGGGCTGGGACTAGTGGTGGTGAGGGGGTGGGTGAGGGCGGGGGCTGGGCTGGGAAGGGAAGGAGGGCCGCCCACAGGGTGTGGCCAGCCCCAGAGGACTAGTCTGGGGATTTGCCACACACACAACCCCCCAATCTGGTTTCACTTCTCCTTCCCTTTGGCCAGAAATAACTGGCCAGGTGGCTGGACCAGGGTGGCAATAAGGGGGGACCTCTGGGGAGGGCCACAGCTTTGAGGAGGAAGAGCTGTAGATGGCTGAAAGGGAGCCGTGTAGCCACCTCTTCCCATCTCCCTCACCTCTGGGACATGAGTGGTGCCCTTGCTCAGCCCCAGGGAAGGGGCTTCTGGCTTCCCTCAGGGATGGAATCTCCCAGCCCAGCACGTTGGGAAGCCCCTGGTCTGGACACCTGGGTTCCTTCTCTTAGGATGGAATTAAAACCCTGAAGAGGGTGGTAGAATCAAGGGAGCTTTGCTCGGAGTAAGTTGCAGTGCTCATGCAAACTGGTGAAGATTCCAGTCCTTGTGGCTCTGAAGTTTAAGAAATGCAATTTTATGTGCAGGGCTGGGCCAGGGGGAGGTTACCGTGGAGAGGGAGGGGCAGTGATTGGATCAGCATTAGAGTTGGGGGTGGGTAGGTGCTTTGGGATTGTTGTGACAGACACTAGGAGACCTGCTGGGACTTGGCACCCCAGCACCTGGGACTCAGCTGATGTTATTGGGGGCTGGTAAAGACCAAGGTTCTCAGCTGTCCTCCATGTTAAGTTCACACCTTAAAAGGGAGGGGACTCCAGGATCCCCACATTCTAGCTAGCAACCAAGAAGTTGAGTGAGCCTCAGAGAGGCTAGTTCTTGCCCAAGGCCACACAGCTAGGGAGCCAGAGAACCAGAACAGAAAGTCGGGTCAGGCTGACCCTCCCCCAAACCACCCCTACCTGTGATCTTTACCCTGATGTTGCATCGTGAAGCCACCCCCACAACTATCTAGGATTTGAAAAGTAAAGGCAAGTGGATCTAGAAGGACTCAAAAGTATATACAGTTGGAAGTTTTCAGCCGGGGCTTTCCCGTTGAGGCACTGGCCATTTCTTGTAAGGCAGGGAAATGGTCTCGCGTGGAATCAGGAGCATGGGCCTGGCACACCACCACTCAGTACTTGATAAATTTATTAAGCCAATAATCTCTTTTCGAAAGGTTGCTTCCTACTTCCAAATTTCTGGATTAAAATCCATGCTGCACCCCTTTGAAGCTGTGGAGCCTTGGGAAAGTCGGTCTCTACCTCAGCTTTCCTGTTGGGAAAATGGAGGGCCCGTTTCCTGCCTTGCAGGAAAGTTGGGAGAGCAAGCTCTGAGGCCTAGGCATTTCCAAACACAGAAAAGGAAAGCCTCGGGTCCACGCCAGCCTTCTGCTGCTTGCCCGTCTGCCGGCCCACCTCCCGAGCAGCAGCTTTCCGAGGGCAGAGCGGCCGGGCTGTCTTCCCGCTCAGCCACAGAAGGGCCATCAGCTGCATCTTCTCCGACTCCCTGCCATCAGCACTAACACCCGCTCTTTTCTTCTCTGCAGACCGCGAGGACCTGAAGGCCCTGAGCTGCCTCCGCTGTGGCAGACAGTTCGCGGGGGCCTGGAAGCTGCTGCGCCACGCCCAGTGGGACCACGGACTGTCCATCTACCAGACGGAGCCCGAGACCCCAGAGGCCCCGCTGCTGGGCCTGGCAGAGGTGGCTGCGGCTGTGTCAGCCGTGGTGGGCCCAGAAGCCGAGGCCAAGGGCCCCCGGGTGAGCAGCCTCAGCCGGCGCAGCCCCACCTGCCCTGTGTGCACCAAGACCCTCAGCTCCTTCAGCAACCTCAAGGTGCACATGCGCTCACACACGGGTGAGCGGCCCTATGTCTGCGACCAGTGTCCCTACGCCTGCGCCCAGAGCAGCAAGCTCAATCGCCACAAGAAAACCCACCGGCAGCTGCAGCCCCAGAGCCCGTGCCTGGCCGATACCAGTCAGGAGCAGGCGTCTGCGGCTCCCCCGGAGCCAGCTGCCCATGCCGCTGCCCCGGCCAGCACCCTCCCGTGCCGGGGAGGGGAGGGCGCTGGGGCCGCCGCCACAGCAGGTGTCCAGGAACCAGGGGCTCCTGGTGGGGGGGCTCAGGTGGGCCCTGGTGGGGAAGGCTGGGGAGCCACCACGAAGGAACAGAGAACTGACCCTGCAAAGAACCAGAAGATGTCGCCAAAGAAGACCCCCAAGGCAGTGGGCAAGAGCCGTGGGCCAGGGGGCAGCTGCGAGTTCTGCGGGAAGCACTTCACCAACAGCAGCAACCTGACGGTGCACCGGCGCTCACACACGGGCGAGCGGCCCTACACCTGCGAGCTCTGCTCTTACGCCTGCGCCCAGAGCAGCAAGCTGAACCGCCACCGCCGCATGCACGGCCTGGGGCCTGGCAGCACCCGCTTCGAGTGCCCCCACTGCTGTGTTCCCTTCGGCCTGCGTGCCACCCTGGACAAACACCTGCGGCAGAAGCACCCCGAGGTGGCAGGGGAGGCCTGAGCATCAGGAGTACCCTCCCTACCGCCCCTGTTAACACTTCTGTTTGACCTAATCTCCCCTATGCTGTGAGTAAATCCTCCCGTTGTTACATGCAAGTTTGGACTCTGGCTTTCTTGGGGTGTCTGAGGTGGGGCAGGAGGCTTCCCCTCCTTGGGGTGGACGGCTGGACAGACCGGTTTGGAATGAGGGGGTGAGGGGAAAGGCCAGCCCCCAGTGCCTGGGGCACAGCAGGACTGGCACAGAAAGCCGCGTTCCCGGTTCCTGGGGAGGGCGAGGCCAGGGCAGGGGCTGAGATGAGGGCGGGGAGAGGCCTGGACCTGTCACCAGAGGCCCTGGGCAAAGTCCTGGCCTGTCCTCCACATGCCGGGCCCTGGGCCCTGGGCCCTTTCCCACCGGCTGGTGCCCTGGCCTCGCTGAGCGGTGAGCAACTGGAGCGGCCATGCTGGCGCCTGCCCCCAAGCCAGCCCCTCCCCCAGCTGGCCCCTGGGGGGATGGGAGCCCTGCACCCCCCACCCCCCCCATGGACAACAGTGAGGCCAGATTAAGGGAATTAAATAACGTTTTGATTTTATTTCACTAGAGAAAACCAGCAGCATCACAGCTTGAGCCCTGCTCCCCCTCAGTACCCCTCTTCTGCCTAGTGTCGGTAATGGGGGCTCCGGGATCGAGACCTCGAGCGTCTGCAGAGAGAAAAGGGGGACCTCATGAGGGGGGCAGGCTGAGGGAGCCTGATGTGTGCACACATGCTGGCACACTGGGCCAGTGATGGGTCAGCTGCACAGGAAGTGACACAGGGTGCGAGTGGAGGATCGGGCTGGGCCTCCCACCATGGGGGCCCGTTGGGGACCCAGGGCACTGGCTGGAGGCCCGCTCACCTTCTGGAAGAGCTGTACTCTCGACCTGGGAGGGGAGAAGACACAAGGCACAGTGAGCGCACCAGCGCTGACTGGCTGGCGGCTTCCCCACCGAGGCCACACTGGTTCCAACTTCAGTTGAGGGAAGGCAGATGTGGGCAACATACCAGGCTTTGCGACCTGGTTCTGCATCCCCTGCTGCCCCAGAGCCCCCAGCACTATCGGGCAACTCACTGTAGCGGGGGGAGGGCGAGCGGCTCTGCCGGCTGTACTGGCGTTCCCATTCTTCTCGCTCCTTCTCTCGCCGCTCCCGCTCCCTGCAGGGAAAGGAGGCAACCCAGGGGAGGAAGGGTGAGTGGGTGGCAGGAGCCCTGCAGGAGGCCAACTGGGGGCAAGCTTCAGGGGCAGGGACTGCCATTATCCCCACTTAGAGGAGACGGCGTGCTGGGCAGAGCAGGATCTGAACGCGGGAGTGCCTCCTGGCCGCCACTTCCTGTCACCGTCCAGCGTGGTCTCACACTCTTAAGTGCTTAATTGGCCCTTGTGGGAACAACTGGGATCTGCACCCAGGGCTGTGTTTATGGGACACCTCTCCATGCCTTGGCTGGACCCTGCTTACTTCTTTAACAGGCCTTTGAGGGCCTGTGAGGGGGGATTACTGCGTCCAAATTTTGAACAAGAAATGAAAGGGCCCACAGCTGTTGGGTGGCAAGAGGCCACCAGAACCAGGTCTGTCTGACAGCACTGAATCCCAGGTACTAGGCCCCCCAACTCCTGCTAGAGACCCCGCCCATGTCGTGAATGAACTCTCCAGGGCAGCCCTGCACATCTGCCTGTCTCAGAGTCCCACCCCAAGTTTAAGCGGCACGTCCAAGGTCCCACAGCGGGTACAGGGTGGAGCCAGACATGAGTATCAGACCACATGCCTTCCCTTCCCACACCAAGCACAAGGCCTCAGTTGGGGCCAGCACAGCCTCAATGGGCGCTTATCTCCAGGTCTCCCTCGGCATGACCGAGGATTATCCCTGCACCAGAATGTGAAGTGAGGCTCTAGGAGGGCCAGATGCCCATTCTGGGGCCACACAGAGCAAGGCAGTGCTTGGAGAGAGAGAACCCAAGTCTACTGAGCTGCTCCAAGCTACCCTATGAGTGAATCGGAGCAGGAGAGAAGCCCTGTCCGGTAGGCCTGGGCCAGAGCCACCCCAGGCTGGCCTGCACTCAGTAAACATTTACTGAACGCCACCTCTGTCCTAGGGGTGAGGACACCGCAGAAGCCCCGCAGCCAGGCCTAGCTTTTGGCCAGAAAAACAAAAAAGCCAATGAGAACTGTAGCATCAGGTGGGGGTGAGGGAGTCCAATACCCTGAAGAAAGTAAAACAGAGCCAGAGAATGGAGTCTTCTGGGGTGCTATCCCAGATAGGATGGCCAGGAAGGGCCTCCCAGGTACAGGTGGGGGAAGCTAGGAAAAAGTGTGCCCAGAGAACACAGCAGAGGCTGGAGCGAAGCTGGGATGGTGGGAGAAAATGAGAGACAGACTTTCATCCACCCAAGGGTCGAGCAGGGCTAGAGCTAGGAGCGGGTGATGGGGAACAGCGGGAGTCCAGAGACTGAGGCTGTGGCCCCAACCCAGCAGTGCAGGGGCAGGCTTACTTCATTCGGATCTTCCGGGCCATGGCACGAAGCTCATCCTCCCGCTCCTGCAGCAAAGAAGGTCATGAGGGCTTCTGCCTGTGAGGGTGCCCTCTGGGCCCACACCTCGCTCCCACCCTTACCTGTCGCTCATGCTCCTGCTGTATCATCTTCTCTTGAGCTGCCTTCTTATCCGCCTTGACTGCAGAAGGGAGGACACAATAGTTGAGGGGGGCCCTCAGTATGGCAGCAGAGCTGGTGTGCACCCACTCTTTCCCCCCTGCACAAAGTCTGACAAAGGCCAGGAGCGGGGAGCCCTGGGGCAGACTTACACTGCCTGTTGAGCGCTTTCTGCATCCTCAGCTTCAGCTTCTCCTGTGGCGTCAGCTTGGGCTGGGGAAGGGGGAGAAGAGAGGGGAGAGGGGGTGGGTGTCCCGGAGCTCCTACAACCCACCTCATCCAAGAGCCTGGGACTCATGGGGGAGCGAGGGGCAGGCAGTGGACACCCACCATGAGGTCTGGGAGGGACAGTGAAGAGGGGCGGGGGACACATCTCAGGGGCAAAGCCTTCTCAGTTCCCCTCAATCCCTGGGGCTGGAACTCCCGGACCCCCCGGGCCCCCCCTGCAGGCCCACCGAGCCCAGTTCTCGGGCACTGCTGCTGCGGGAGTTAGACGGGCGAGTTCCAAATTCTTACTGACTTTGGCAGCTCCTGTCTCTTTACCAGCGGCAGGCTCGGTCCTGGGTGGGAGTGGGGCAGAGGGCATGGTTGGGGTGGAGGAGTGGAAGGCAGCCACCACCTCTGGCCCCACTCAGCCTCTGCACTGGCCTGAGACCAGAGAACCAAGGCGATGGCCTCAGATGTCCCGAGGCTCCATGGCCCCTCAGCCACCCTCCCAGGTCAGGGCCAAGACCCCTTCAGGCCTCCCAGCGCAGGACCAAGTTTCCTTCAAAATAAGAAAAGGGGGGTCCACCTCCCCACCAGAGGTTGACCATCTCTCCCCCGCTCACTTTTTCAGCTTCTCGCCCACAGCGGGGGACGCTGCCGGCCTGGTCAGCTTCTCCCTTGGGGGCGATGGCGAGTGACTCTGGCTGCGGCTGCGGCTCAGGCTCCGGCTCCGGCTCTGGCTGGGGCTGCGGCTATGGCTTCGCGTGGGGCTGCGGCTGCGTGACAGGCTGAGGGACCAGCTGCTGCGGCTGCGACTGCTGCTATGGTGCCGGGGCCCCCGGCCACCCCGCCTGTACCAGTCCCCTGAGTGTGAGCGGCTCCTGGGGGGGCAGGGGTGAGGGCGGTGAGATTCCGCTGGACCGACAACCCCTATCCAGCTACCGCTCTCCAGCCCTCTCGACTGCCCCCTTCCATCCTGATACCTCCTTGAACCCCCCATGCTCCCTCAGTCCTGAACAGACTGCCCTCAAGAGCCCCACAGCCTGCAAGGGGCCTCCACTTGGTGCCCAACACCTCTTCCTTACACAAAGGTGCCCACACCCTTACCATTTACCATCCATACTCTCATCATCTCACCTTGCTGGGCTGCAGGTTCCAACACCAGCTGGGGCCAGCCCCTGCACCCCACTGTTTCCCACCCATCTGCAGCACAGACCGCAGGCCCCTTTCTCTGTTCTCAGGAAGCCCAGGAGTCCTGAGCAAGGGCTCCCTGTCAGGCCGGCCTCTGACTCTTGAGCAGACCCTGCCTCCTCCTCCAGTCTCTCTCCTGTCCTGTCCTGGGGCAGAAGACAGATAGCGACCTGGAAGCCCAAACTAAACAGTCTCTTCTGAGACTGTCCTGGGTTTATAGAAAGCCCACATATGTTGGGAATAGTGAGAAAGCAAAAGCTGTCCTTTAAAAACCTTGACCGAATCACTCTCGAGAACTGAAGACTGGCAGTGCTTGATCTGCCACTGAGCCGCGAACATCCCCACCAGTGGGACCTGTGCTACCCAATTCCCCAGGGCTCACCTGGCCTGTTTTACCTGCCGGACCCTGTAGATGACTGACACTGAGACCCACACAACACAGGGAATGATGGGAGGACCTCAAGCACTTCTAAGTGCCAACGTGGTGCTAAGCAAGCACTCGTGGATTTGTTTACTTGTCATGCCATTACCACTCCATGGAAGGGACACTGCCGTTATCTTTACCCCACGGATGAAATCGGCCCCCACAAGTCACTAGCAGGACCAAAATTCACACCCAGGCAGCTGCTCCAAGGTGCAAGGCTCCCAGCTACCCCTCCACAGCAGCCCTGGTGGCCCCAGGAGAGCACGGGGAGGAAGTTCAGGCCTGAGGGTCCCACTGGACCTGCAGTGCTAGCCTCAGCGCACCTGCGGTGCAAAGGACTACCTGCTTTGACTGGCCTCTCTGCACCCGCAACCCTTAGGCCAAGTTCCCGAGAAAACCACAGGACACAGAGCACCCATACCCCTCTGCAGGCCTTGAGGCGCCACGAGAAGGGCTCAGCCTCCTGCCCCCACTGCTCTGGCGGCAGCAGCTGTGCTCTGCCCACTGCCTGGCACCTCCTCGCCGCCAGCCCACCGAACACAGCTACCCCTCCAAAGGGCAGAGCCCTGGTGTCCTCTCACCACGCACACACAC